TGCATCATTTCTCCTCAGAGCGAGTAGGTCTGGCCGTATCCTTTGAATCTCACAGTTGCTTCCGTGTTTTTAACCCCTGGCTTTAGATATGTAGAATCCATCAGGAGATGCCCCCTCCTAGGAGAGTTGTGAAGCAACCAACAACCCCCCATCCACCATTGCATAAACATGTAGGAGAGGACCAGAGCATCTCCTGAGAAAAACGTGAGAGACACAGATCTGTCATGACAGGCTTCACCACCACCTTCTCCCTCCTCCCCCTTTGCTCTCATGCTGAATAGCTCCCTTTGACATGAGGGTAATGCCTGTGGATGCAATCTCACAACCTTGCAGATTCAAAGTAGCCTGTGAATCATTTTTCTCCTCCATTTTAATTTTCTTTATTTTCATCACTGTTCTAATGTGCTTTGGAATGAATTTCACTTTGCTTTTGTCGCAAGCATAGTCACTGCCATGAATAAAACTAAATGCAGGCTTATTTGTGAAATGGAATAAATAGAAATGTGGAAAGATGAGTACCTATATGCCTGTGTACACACACACACACGCATGCATACCAAAACATATTTGTAATATAATACAGGTAATATGGGAGAGACCAAAACATTTAGATTATAAGAGTGTAAAGAATACCTATCAGAGATATCTAGTAAGGTAAGATTGTATTTTTAAAGGTAGCTGGTTTAACTGTATGATGTATAAATATTGCCAATGCTAATAAATCTATGTTCACATATTAGACATTACTCATGAAAATATTATTTAAAGAATACACTACCAGGAAACTATTTGCTGCAGATCTCTTCTACAGGAATATTTTGTAGCTTAATGATACAAAGTCTGTAAATGCATGTTACTCTTCCAAAGAGATATTCCTCCAAAGATAATATTCCATATATTCTTCTAAAGATGATATTCCAAAGAAGAATATCATGATAATTATGTAATTTTTTTCCAGAGGATAAAAAAAGTCTTCTGGTGTATTTTCATATAAAATATTGTATGTTGTAGACTTGATATACTTGAGATGCATTTTCCTACAGGGCTTATGTATCTCATCTTTTATAAGCAATACCACTAGTCAAACAGCAGGACATCTTACGTATGTCAGGGTTATTAGTAGAGCCAGCATGATCCTTGAAAGAGCAGGAAATCTACTGTGGAGCTGCTTTACTTGATAAGGAGAAAATAAATGTTAGGTCAGGATGGAAATGTTCAAGAGTAGCTAATATGTCAATTAGAGAAAAAGAGATTCAGAAATTACTAGAAAGGCAAGACCACACCATTATATCAGATGATGTGACAGCCCATCCTATAATGTAGGATTTTTATTTATTTCCTTCAAGAGGGATGATCCTAGGTCATAGTGGCTGTGTCTTAAGGCATTTAGTCACAGAGTTTTCTACAAACTCTTCTGAGCATTTCCCATTGACCTCCCTGCCAGGCTCACCACAAACCTTGAGCTGAAGATGTTCAGAACTGAAAAGGAAATCCCCCTGTGGACCACTTAGTGTGGCCTTGATGGCCATTAACGCCCACACTGCACATAAGGACACTGCTTCCCTGGGGGAAGATCTCATAAAGCAGCCACCTCTGACCACCTGAGAAAATGAAAATGAAGTCTTCTAATTCCCATTCTGACAGGAAATGTGCTGTTATCTTGAGTAGATGTGGCCGTGGAGAGAATAGGTGGGAGCATTAGTAAAAGCCCTATTAAACCTGCTGTGCCTACTTTTGCCCCTCAGCACACTTGTGGCAGCATTGCCCTGAAATGGGGAAACGTCACCTCCGTCTGCTCCTTCCTGCCTTTCTGTGGGAAGGGAGGTGGCAAGGGCTGGTTAGTGCCAGACAAAGCTTGACTTGTTTACACTGAAACCTTCAACGTACTGCTCATTCCTGTATAAGCGGATCAAAGTAAAGGACATTATTACATATTTGTGTAGGCCCAACAGTGTGTTAGGCACTAAATTTGCCATCTCGGCGTGTTGCTTTTGCTGTGATATTTCAGGCAGGGATTCCCATTCATCAAGTTGATCCCGCTGTGGGACTGGACCACAAGGTCAGCTCTCGCTGGCTCTGTCACGCTCAGAGGCTGCAGTACTCTGGTAATTAAGACTGTTAGATGGGAGGGCCTCTTTTCCTGCTATTTGATGTAGAGTAGGTGCAGATGAAAGATTTATAGTTTTAATTCAAATACGGGACTTGCCTTTGACAACTTAATTGTGTTTGCAGAGAAGTTCTGGACCCTTTCTCTTGCCAAGTCATTACAGAAAGGCCTCACATCTTGGATCTACCAGGAAGCTGTTTGGATTAAAGAAATAACCAAAGAGACTCAGTGTCAGTGCTGATAGAAGCAATAAACATTTGCTTGTCCTTCTTGTGCTTGTAGTAAATATGTTCACGTTGGCTTTAGATGTTAAATCTTCATATTTCAAGACCAAACTAACTTTTTTCTAACTTTTTGCTGTATCTATGCTCATCTCTAGAAATAAGATTTTTTTTTTTTTTTTTTTTTTTTTTTAGAGATCCTTGACTCAAAGCAGTCAATGAGGCTGGTAAAATGAAAGGCTAGACTGAACAGGATACTAAAACCAGGTGCTCATGTCTTTAATAAAAACATAATTATAAATAATAAAAACTGGTTTAATTCTACAAACGGAACTGCTTTTATGTTTGATTGCATAAAATTATTGAAATACTTCAGATTTCCTTGTACCTATTTAGTAGGAGCTAAACATCAAAATTGCAAAGTGAATTACGTAAAAGCTAGGAATTATTCAAGCCACCTGGCTCATACACTATATTTCTCCAAGGTCAGTATGCAGGGTTTGATTTTTCTGCTCATTTCCTTGGTCGCCAGTGTTTGCTTGTGTCAGTGGCTGCGGGCAGAGGAGGCTGTTAGGTGCTGAGCAGAAAGGGAGGAAGACGATGCACTTTTTAACTTGGCAGATTCAGGAATAGCTGCAGGTGGTGAGAAACAGTAGGTACTGCAGTACCTGGGTGCTGTGCCAGGCACTGGCAGTGGTAATATATGGCCATATGGGTGGAGACAACATACCTTGCATGTTAGGTGGTTCATTTGTTTTGAAACGGGCTCGGCAAAGGTGTTGTTGGAGAGTCTCGGGTTTGAGATCTGGGCACTAGCCCCTGTTCTGTTTGGATTAACCTCTCAGCCTTACACAGTTCAGCCTTTTTAGAGCAAGGAAATGCAACATAGTCCATAGGAAAAAAAAAAAAAAAAAAAGGGGGGGTGGGGGACACTTCCTACCTTTCTCACCCCTCTCCAAAGATACTGCTCAGTAATGTATGGGAAAAAAGGTAAACTGCTCCTACTGACGTGGCCCTTGTTACAGGCCCTAGGGTTTTACAGCCATTCCTGCATTTGTCCTCATAAAAGGAACTAAAGCACAGAGACATAAAGGCTAGCCTTTAAAACAGGTATTTCAGCCCCACAAGTGACTGATAGTTTCCTGTTGAGATTATCCAGAAGACCCCAGCCAGGCATTTTTCTCAGTGAAGATGTGTATCTTCCCCCTTAGAAATGCCATTTGATAACTGGCACAGAGTCGCTCAAGAAGCTTATAGCCCAGACCTCCCATTTCCCAATATCCAGTATTTCTCCTACAGGTACAACCTTCTACCAGCAAAGTACAGCTCAGGGTATGCGGTTTGCTCCCTTGCAGCCCTTCTCCAAAGGGAGAGCAGAGGCAGGGTCTTGTGCATACTTGTGGGAAGAAGCATGAGTGGTATCAGCAGGGACGTATTTGCAGGTGAAGATGGGAGGAGAGGGAACGCAGCCTCTCCAGTACATCCAGTTCTTGGTGCATCTGCTTCAATGAAACTTCAAAACCAGTAACTCCAGGACTGTGGAGAGCAGGCCCCATTTAAGCAATGCAGGGGAATTTAAGCAATGGGAGAGAAGGTATGAGGCAAAGACAGGCACAAGGACGAGGCATTTAAAAAAGATAAAAGTAATTGTGTTTATGCTGGGTAGGGGAGAGAGGAAAGACTTCTTGTTTACATTTGAGCCTGGTTTCCAATTTCTGCCTTGCAGAAGAGAAAAGCCACCTTCTGAGAAAACTGAGGGCATATAAATGGAGGCCTTGTGGCCTCCCACCAAAGAGCACAGGGAGACGTCTGCTCCGGTGAGTTACCGCAAGGGAGGCCACAAGGCGCCCACGTCCCTGCGGAGGAGATGCCTCAACCTTCCTGTGGAGCTGCTTTCCTCCCGCTGCCGGGGCAGCGGGCGGCCCTGTGGGCCGGAGCACCGGGACACCGGGCCCTCAGGGTGCCACGTTCAGTCTGGGCTGGGGGGGAGCCTCTTTGGGGCTCAGGCAGCAGGAGGAGGCTGCTTCAGAGAGCCCTTTGGATGCCGTTCCTACTGTCATCGCTGTAGATGTCGTTCGTACTGTCATCACGGTAGCTAATTGTACACAGATCACTTACAGCACAGTCATTACATAAATGCTCTGAAAGCTGCCACACAGGTTCAGCTTGCTCCGAAGAGGCCTAGGAAGCAGAAGACTAGTGGGAGCGAGGGAAAGATGCCTTTTGAGGCCTTCCCAGATGAGTTCAAATATGTCTTTCCAGTATTGTGGGTACCCTCTAAGTGACCTGAAAGCTGGTACAAAGGAGAAAGGATCAAACAAGGGTAATGACCTTCGAAGACTCTCACATGCACCCAGGCAAACACAAGGAAAACTGAGCAGAAGACGGGAGCAGAAGTGCTCAGGCTATAGCCACTGCTTCACTCGGAAGGTGATGGTGGCTCCTTTCCCAGGAGTGAGCAGAGGCAACTAGGGCAGCAGAGCAGTTTCACAGTATTAGGATATGACTCTCTATGAAGTAAGTAATCCTTCTAGTCTGTTGTTTGTATAAATTCCACAACTAGTAACTTACGTTAAGAATAAGTTTCTTAGTTTTACATGGATAATGGTACTAACTGCTTTGTTTGTGTTACAATCTAGATTCAGCCCATGGATCAACATGATGGAAGCGGCCCCTTCAGTCAAGAGGTGTTTTTTCCATCATACTCAAGCTTTACCAGCCTGGTTGCAGTGTGACCTCTGCAGGACACAGATTAAGGTAAAGACTCATCTGTCTTTTGCAAAATAATAATAATAATAAAAAAAGCAGCTCTTCAAATAAAGATCTGTCCTGCTCAGTATGATCTGCAGCCAAGGCCGCCCAGCAGTGTTTACATTTGACAAAAACACTGGGTCTATGTTCACATGGGTTTTTTACCTCAGAATGTCTTTTTAATTTATACATCCATGGATATTATTCATCTTCGGTCTGGGTCCGAGATCCAGCTTTCCTTTGCTTTTGCTTAGTGTTCCTAACAATCTGGCAGCATGCACTAATTGTAAACACATGGATATAGGATACAGCTTTATAAACTAGGGAGTTTTACAGCCTACAATTTTATAGTGTCTCATCGCATCATTTAATGGTAGAGCAGAACATGTCGTGTCACAAAGTGATGATGCTTCTGCTTAGGAGAACACTACAGAAGCGATGAGACTGCGTCCAAGGACAAAGTTGGCCGAAGTGTTTAAAAAGGGCTTGAGTTATTTTAATAAGCAGATGTTGACAGAATTTTGAGGCTTATTATCAGTGCTAGAGAGAGAAAACTTCTGTGGAGGATGAAAGTTTTGAGGCTTTTGAAACTTTTCTGACTAGATTGGTTGTGCTTGGTGTATTTTAAAAAAAAAAAAAAAAAGAGAGAGAGAGAAAAGGCAACCTTTCACTACCTCTGAAAATCCTGACAATTTTTCTCTAAATACCTGGAGGTGAATTTAGGAGCATACTATTAGACATCAAGCTTTGTAAGTGCTAGCCAGTAATAATGACAGATTTTCCCAACTGCGTTTTAAATCCTTTGCTTCTTGTTATAACCTCATTAAGTGAGAAGTGTGATAGATATTCCTTTAACACATCCCTTTATGTTTCTGTAGTCAGTTGTCATCTATCTGTTATTTTGCACATCGTTCCTTGTATGTGTTACTCTCTGCTGAATTCTAGAGGAGGCCCCAGACAGTTGTAGGACTGCAGATGTGTGATTTTGGCAGAACTGCTCAGTTGCTGCTCCTCAGAAATGATCCTGCCTTGGTGTAGAGCCGGAACTGCTGTAGTGGAGCCTCTCTAATTACCTGGGAGTGCTGAAGGGAGCAGTGCCTCCCCAGTGGTGCAGTTACACTGCTAGGTCCTGCTCTTGGGGAAGTTGCTGGGAAAGCTTCCATTGGTCAAAACGATGCTAAATCAGATGTGAGTCGTTTGGAGAGCCTTTTGGAACCTAATTTCAAGTGATTATTATGCATCTTGATTGCTCTTTAGCACAGTAAATTAGCCTGCATTGAGTTCTGAGCTGCCATGGCAAGGCTATTAGCAGGTGCCAACTAATTAATTTAAAGTTAGTTCAGTCTAGAGTCTACATTATCTGGCTTCCTGCAAGACAGTATAGATGTAATTTTCTCACATTCACTGTCTGGGTTTTTATCAAATATTTGCCTGAAGATACCACATTGTGTATTGTGTTACGTTGTGTACTATAGTGTATTACAGACCCTCAAAGGTATTAGGTTTTTTTTCAAATAATCAGAATACCTGGAGTCCTGGATGGCTGCAAACAGCAGGTGACCTGTTTTAAATGTGTACATACAATTCTGACAGTAATGTGCGTAGAGAGCCAAAGTATGTGGATGCCTGCATATCTTTCTGTATTTCCCACGTCTTTAAAGTCAGGCTAGCCATTTGCATCTTGCAAGTGTAGAGAAGGTGTGCCAGATGACAAAATAAAAGGATATAATAATGTCATAGAGAGGAATATTTATCTACTGGATTGTCTCATACAGATGTGACTTATTTATATGAATAGCATATTTCTTTATTGGAGAAATAGAAATTTTCACATTACAGAGCACCATCTTTTAAAATACACTTTTGATTAATATCACTCAAAAGTTAAACATTGAATTAGTTCAGTTCCTTTCAAGGAGGAAATTAAAATCCACTGGGGAAGTCGCATACAACATGTGCAAACTCTTTTGTGGGTGGAAAATGATGAAACATCCCAGAGCATCATTATTCCTCCCTACTTCCTGAAATCCTTTCCTCAGATCCCCCAAACAACCCAATAGATACATGATTTACAGAGAGGTCCATGGGTTTCTCAGACCATTCACCCAGCTTTGTGAGGAAGTGAGGGATTACAGTGAACTACACAAGCAGGTCAGCCAAGGTTCATGTCTTGACTTAACTGTAAGTTGATGGTGACATTTTCCAGATATTTATGGAGAGTTCATCTTGGGAGATGCTAATTTTATGGACACAGGTTGGAATTTCCTGTGGCAGGTATTTCTAGTGCCGTGTATGTTCTTGCAGAGTAGTTGACACTATACACTTCACTAGTTTTTTTCAAGAATATTTGAAACATGGCACCGTGCTCGGGAGGTGGGAGAGGAGAAAGATAAGACTTGTACTCCACCTCCATCGACAGTTCATTCCCCTTCACCACTCGCATCTTGTGTTAGATAAGCTGGCAAAATGATGCAGAAAGGAGGCAGAAGAGTAGTTCCTTCAACTCTGCACCAGGAAGGTGCTGGTATCCTTGCTAGCAAGGGATGGCCAAGGTCTGTAGAGTTGATCCAGAGAAAATGGAGCCCTAAGCCACAGCATACTCCATAAGGGAGGTCTGTGTCTCCAAGGCAGGCTGGCACAAGTCCATGTAAAGCTCTGAAAGGCGCCGATAACTGCCTTCTGCTCTGAAATACTGTCACTGTAAATCTTGAGGTTGATATCAGCAGCAGTTCAGGCAGGAGGCTGCCTTAAAGCGAGTGGTACGCTTCCAGCTCTAAATCTCTTGCTACTCTTTAAAATGCCAGATGGACCATTTATCCAATAGTCTAATTGTGGCTGATTTTTTTTTTAAAGGAGAGATATACATGTTCCTTTGCAGATAATTTAAAAAGAGCAGGTCTGAACCATGGATGGCTTCCAGTCTGAGTCAGATGTAACTCAGCAGTTGTGAGTGAGGGCTGGAGTAGGTGAACACTGAGAGTGTGACAGAGCACTCAAGACCCTTCCATATAAGTGTTCCCTAGAAAAGCGGTTGTGTCTGTTTTGAAGAGACATTTTGACTGGTACTTTGAACAGAGGTGATTTTAAGCAGGTCAGTACTCTCTGAGCATGAACTGGGCCCCCTATATTACTAGTCCGTCACTAGTTACAAGATGGTCGTGGTTGTTGCAGATCCTTGGCTTCAGTGCATTTGGATATAATGTTTGTTGAACAATAGGAGCAGTTTTCCCTTGAAGATTTTGCTATTGCTGCTTACTGCAGTTGTTGTGAGTGCTTTCAAAAATGTGTCTGCTCTCACCAGCCCTCTTTTTGCTATCCTTTTCTTTCATGATGCTTAGAAAGTTTTGGAGACAGTTTTTTCTGAATGTCATTGCTCTGCTTGCCCCTAGTCAACACCTACTGAGGAACTGCCTCTCTTCTGTGTTAGTCAGGAGTAAATTCTTGTAGGAAGCATCACAGATGTTGGTAAGCCCTGGAGCACACTGGGGTCAGTCTGTATTGACCCTGTAGGATGCCACTACAATATACAAGATAGGGCCTTTTAAGTGTCTTTGAAATCTGTTACAAAATTTACATGAATATTCCTGTAATCAATAAGCATAAAATCTAATAAACATTTTAAAAAAAAAAGTAACTGCTGCTAAAAGTAACCCACTCTTGTAGACCACTAGGAACAAGAAAGCCTGTCTGTGGGACTCAAGGGCAGGATGTTTCCCATTAGCACCCCCTGACATGCCCAGGAGCAGTCTGCAATTAGCAGTACTCAGAGCAGTGATGCGAGTGGAGATGGCCATTCAGCACAGTGAGGACCGGGGCGGTAGGAGGAAATGCTGTTGTGTGACATTAATGCTTTGGCTAGAAAAACCTGCAGCAAGAATATAATCTTTCTCTCTCTTTAAGACACCTTTTTGTCCTTTTTTCTTTTCACATGTATTTGGCAATCTGATGCCTGCGCGGCTTTATAGCTTTGACAAAGGCAGCTGGAAGTTTTAATTTTAATAAAATCCTTTGGAAAGAGAAATGAAGAATTTGAATTCTTCTGATTTTAGCCTACTGTTGCGTTGATGTCACTTGAACTGATGATGAAACTCGGTTATATTGCCTCAACAAAACCTAACTGTAATTTACCAGGATTTACCAGGCGTTAGTCTTCAGTGCAAAATAGAAATCCCATGACATGTAAACAAGATTTGTGCACCTAGCTCCCATACAAAAATTTGGAAAATATATTCCCATAGCCCTCTGCACCCCCCCCCCCCCCCAGTATTTTAGAAAAGAACAAAATGGATTAACAAAAGGAATTCATATAGGAATCACAGGGATTTAAGTTACATTACCTCCTTAATTGAATTAGTTGTACTGAAAACTTTAAAAATCCGAAATCATTGTCAAAAATGTGTTAATGTAATCAGGGTAGCTGTAATAGGTTTTGGATCCCTTTCCCTGATATCTTTTTCTCTTTCTTTATCCTGGTTGGTTAGAAAAGATAGGAGCAGCATCCCTAAAGCCATTCTCTGACAAGTCACCTAGACTTGTCAGACAGACCCAGACAGATATTTGCTCTCTGTTTTCCCTGAGGACAAGGAAGCCTGCTGGCTGGAGGCGGTGTTCTAGTTTCCTTTACAGTATCTTCCTCTTGGCTTCCCTCTTGCTCAGATGCAGCACTGTGTTATGCTGTTAACAAGTTCTACTTTGCAGGAGCAAACTGCAGAGGTTTTCAGTGAACAACACTTTTCGGAAAGTACATGGTTATCCTGTTCTCCTGTCCTTCTGCCTGTGAGCACTCGCATCCTAAGCCATAGAGTCCGTTAGAGGGAAAGGTGGGAACCTCTGGGGAGTTGATCACTACAGTGCTGGAGCACTGGGAAGGATGGTTGTGCCTGGTGAGTCCGTTCATCATAGATAGACCCTGCCTCTGGACACAAGTGCTCCGTGCACTGCTCCACAAGTAGAGCAGTCAAACATATTGTGCATTATCCGGATGCAGTTTGCTTCATACTGATGCCTCCAACTGCAGAGATCTGCATCTGAGCTAGGATCCCGCAGGGAATCTGAGGATTCATCTAGAGATAGTGGAAATCAAGTGAATGTCATCAACCAAATCTACAGTCCTTATTATCTTCACTTAAACTAGGTATCTGAACTGAATTGGTATAATTTAACTTCTCTATCTGCAGGATATGATTAACTAAGAGTATAAAGAATTTTAGTGATGAATGATCCAGGAAGAAGACATTTCTAGACTTTGTAATAGTGAAGTGTCAATAAGAGCAATGAATTAATGAGAACAATTCCATATGTGTCATCATCCCTTTGGCTCCACATCAAGTGGCACTGAGGCCTAAATACCTTCTCACTTAATTTTGTCCAGAATTCAGATTTGTAGGTTTGACTTAAACACATTTCCTGGTTTGCTGGTACACAGAAGGAGCATTCACAAAGTGGGTGATTGGATGTGTACCCCTTCACCAGCTTGCCTGCAGAGAAAATTGGTAGACACAAATGCTTTCTTTACTAGTTGCAAATGTCATCCAGTCCATGACTTTCCAAACACCTTTTGTCATAATTCACATTACATTTTATTGTGAAAGATAGTTCCAAGAGGAGATTTAAATGATGATTTTTTTTTTTTTTTTGTAATCTGCACTTTAATCATAGCAAGAAATACTTCTTTCTTCATTTGCATTTGGCTCCCTGGGCATAACATAGCAAGAACATTTTATTTCTTTTAAACTATTGTCATTCCTCCCATCTGGCAATCGGAAAAACATGAAATAAAAGGGTGTTTCCAACAAACTCCAGCTTCAGCAAAAGCTCTTTCAAGGTTCTCAGCCAACTGTGGGTTTGCATCATAAAGCAGCAGGAATGGGACAGTAAGTGAAGAGCTGTGCTGTGTAAAGAGACTGCAGTTGATGTGTGTTCCACAGCTGGTCTTATGGCGACAGTAACTTGTGCTGCAGTGATAAAATTTTAACATGCAGACTTCGTGTGCCAGCTGATAAATGATGAGGGACAAATTAAAAACAGTTTCATTAGCACGAGGGAACACTCTGTATCAGGAGTCTGTCAGTTAGGTGCTAGCACAGAACATTGTCATTATACAAGTGCCTTTTGGCTATAAATGATTGTCCAGCACCTCTATTAGAAACCTGGGCCTTAAGGCTTGCTAGTAGGAGGCTCATTTCAAAGTTCATTAAGCTAAAACTTGGCGAACTTGTTGTCAGGCCAGATGTGCTTTTGTTGTTGTTTTTTTTTTTTAAATATATAAAACAGTTCAAGCTCTTTTGATCTAGAATTTGGCAAATAGCACACAGTTCTTATAGCTTTATATGCATGTTTT